GGACCAGGTCCTCCAGGCAGGGACAACTAGGGCCGGGAGACACAACCCAGGAGGCTCGGCGACCAGGTCTGGTGCTCTAACCGGCACCACTACACTTCTTCCTGCTCTGAATGCCCCTGTCCCACCCCAAAGAAACAGATGGTCGCACCCAGGCCCCCTACGCAAGCCTCTAGGGCTGCCCCAGCCTGGGATCTTTCAAAATGCAAAGCTGACCAGGTCTCTCCTTGCTTCAAACCAAAACTCCTCAGACCCTGAGGATAAAAATCCGAGCTCAGCAAGGCTTGCAGGACCCCTTAAGTTCTTGCTCTCTCCCTCCCCTTGCACCTCCAGCTTTAAGGCGCTGTTTGGGATTCTGGGTATAGCACCCAACTATTTTCTCTGTGGTGATGTCTGTCTGGAACACTCATCTCCCTCCCAACCAAAACTTGTCCCTGACTTACTCATGTTTATATGGAGAGAGATGCCCGTGACTTTGATACCATCTCCTACAGGAAGCCTTTCCTGGCTGCCCCTCCAAAGTCCACCTATGCCCCGCTGCTCTGCTGCCATAGACTCTCTGCTCACTCTGCCCCTTGTACTCATTTTGTGCCAGGCATTGTGCTAAGGTCCCTTGAATTATCGAAGCAGTGTTGCATAGTGGTTACATGTACAAGCTTTGAGGCCACATTTCTGGATTTGAATACTGACTTGATCACTTAAAGGGCTAACAGGCAAAGGACATAACCTCTCCTTGTGCCTCGGTTTCCTCATCTATAAAATGGGGATAAGAATAGCATCTATCTCATGGGAGGATTATAATGACCAAATTAATACATGAGAAGGGCCCGGTATATAGTAAGGGCTTAATAAATGTTAGCTAACATCTATTAGCCTGTTAAATCCTTGTGTTAACTTCAATTCATAGGTGAGGTCTAAGACATGACTTGACTTGCTCATGAGTACATAGCCAAGTCGCAGACCTGGGACTTGAACTTGATACCAAGGTCCAGGCTGTACTGCCTCCCACTGTCAAACCCATCACGCGAATTATAATAGCTGTTTACTTGTCAGTGTCTCCCTCCAGGCTGGGTGTTCCATGAGGGTCACAGCTATCTTGGCGCCCCAGCCCAATGACACATTTGAGATTCTAATTGGATGAATTAATGATGCTGTGCAGCTCAGGCAAGTTATTCAGAGGATTGAGACAGTGGTCACAACACCCTGGCTCCCCTGCAGCCTACATGGAAAAATGCCTCAGTGCCTTCTCCTAGGATTAGCCTCTTGGTGGACAAATATTCCCTGGTCCGGGAACTAGAGGTGCTCTTAGCTGGGAGAAACCACAGTGGAAGCAGCAGGCTGGATGCGCCAGATAAGCTTTCCCTTAAGCAAGCCCTGTCCTTGGCTACGCAGCCTCCCCCAGTCTTGCTCCGATACCTCCCCCATCAGCAGCTGTCCCCGTGTTAAGGTGCCCACCCACCAGCAACCTGCTTCAAGGAAATCAAGCATCAGAGAGAGAGCCTTAGTGGGTTCAGTGCAAACATAAATATCATCAGCTGCCAGAGAGGATGACGTCAAATCCAGGGCTGGCTGGCTGTGGCCTTGGGGCAGCTCCCTGCACAGAGAGGCCTGATGTCCTCAGAGTCACAGTGGTGGTGGGGGTAGAGGGTGGGGCACAGCACACACAGGGAACTGCCAGCTCAGTGCCCTGAGGATGCATTTGACGGTTCTGTCCATTCTCAAGGACCCCATGACTTGGAATATTTTTCTTTCTAAACCCACTGAGGTCAGAAATTAAATAGTTGCTCCTTTTCTTGTTCTGTGTTCAAAGCACCCAATCAGCATGAACTTGACAAGGTGACCTTTTGGAGTTGGCCTTGATCCACCCAAAGCAAAATCTGTGTGGCTGTGAGGTTAAAAGAATTGACTCAAGTCCCAGAATGCCTGGGTCCGCCACTGGTCTAAAGCTTTGTGATCTTAGGCAACGTCCTGCACATCTGAGAGTCTCAGGTTCCTCGTATGAAAAATGGGGAGAATAGTATCCATCTCATAAGAGATAACAGGTCATGATTAATGTATTTTTACTGAGTGTCTGTCCTGCACCAAGTGCTGGGGTGACACCAGTGAACAAAACATAGTCCACGAAGGAAGACAGGCAATAAACCAATAAATATTTAATAGGTCAGATGGTGCTAAGTGCTATGAAGATAAGTAAGGCGTAGTAAGGATAAAGTGTCAGGATCAGGAGGAGTTATCTCACTCGGGATAGTCTAGGAAGGCCTTTCTGGTAATATGAGTTCTGAACAGACCCCTGGTTGAAATATGAAAGCAATTCATGGGGAAATCGGGGGGGATACTCTTCAAACAGAGAAATGAACACGTGTCAATGTCCTGAGGTAGGAAAGGCAAGAAGGCCAACGTAGCTGGAGTGAAGTGGGCAAGGAGATGGGTAGAAAGGGTGATGTCAGAGAGGTAGCAGAGGGCAGGGTGTGGAGGGCCTGGTAGCCCACTGTAAGGACTTTGGCATTTACTTTGCGGGAGATGGGAATCCACTGGAACATTTTGAGCAGAGGAGGAAAATTATCTGACAGGTTTTAAAGGATTCCTCTAGCTGCCGTGTAGAGAATAGACTGTGGGGGGACCAAGTAGCAGAAAGACCAGTTAGGAAGTTGTTGCACTTGTCTAGGTGAGAGATAACATCTTTGATTAAATTGGTAGCAGTAGGTGGTAAGAAGTGGTCAGATTCTGGATGTCTGAAGGAAGAGCTGTCAGGATACGTAGACGGATTGTAATGTGTGGAGTGTTTGTATGTATGCATGATCGTGAGAGAGAGACAGAGAGAGAAAGATGACTCCACAGTGTTTAACTTGAAGAATGGAGTGGGCATTTACTGAAGTGGGGGAGACGATTTGGACACAAAATAAGTGTTCCGTAAATATTAGTTATTCTTTGTATTAATGATTTTGGCTTCCTAGGTTGTCTACACTCGGTGACCCAAGGCTTTGCAAATGTTGAGCATGCCTGGCAATAACACCAGCGGCATTATGCCTGAGCAGGTTCTCTGTGCTGAGCATGACACACAGAATCTTATCCATGTCACCCTGCACGGCATAAGAAAACCCTCTGAGAAAATGAGCATTTATTGCATTTTTAACATAGTCTAGGCATCAAGAATTTTTTACTTCCTCCTGTCTCTCCACCACTAGCATGTAGGCTGCATGAGAGAGAACTTATAGCTGCTGTGTACTACTGCACATGCCTGGAACATACTGGGAACATTGGTTAATATTTATCAAATGAAACTTCATTATTATAGATGGAGGGTGAATAATGTCCTAAGGTAGAGCAGAGTTTTAATACATATTTGTTGGATAATAAATATTTGTTGGATATAAAGGAGTGTTACATTCCCATTTTAGAGAAGAGGGAACATTGGGTGGCAGAGGAGAGATCTGACTCAGAATTTCCTGATGCCTGGGCTTGGACCCTTTCCATGGCCGCAATGTGGGGCCTCACCTCATATACTTTCTGGCTGCGTTTGAATAACATGCAAAAAACCCAGGCTACTCAGAGAAAGATCTAATGCTCAATCAGATTGTGAAGCTCTAGTAACATGATCCTAAATTTTTGTCTTCATAAAATGCATGACCTCAAAGTATTCATTTAATCTAACTTACCCAAGGTCACACAGGCTATAAGGGAAGAAAACAAGATGCAAACACAGTCTTCCCACACCAGTGTCCCTGTTTGCTTCCCTAATCAGGGTTTCTTGACCTGGTACACAAGGACTCTTTCAGAGATCTCCAGATGTACTTTGCAGTACCTCTGCCCCTCAACACTGTCTGCTAAACATGTGTGCTTAGGAGCAGGTGCATTTTGGGGGGAAAGAAATGATAGCTTTCATTATGTTATTTTTTTAAAGATCTTAGAGAGAGGGGAAGGAAGGGAGAAAGAGAGGGAAAGAAACATCCATTGGTTGCCTCTTGCACCCCAGGGGACCTGGCCTGCAACCCAGGCAAGTGCCTTGACTAGGAATTGAAGTAGCGACCTTTTGGTTCACAGGCCAGTGCTCAGTCCACTGAGCCACAGCACCCAGGTCCTTTCGTTATATTTTAAAAGTTGCTTATGATAAAAAATATATACTTTTATATGTACTTTTATCTGCACTCGCTGGTGTGGCTCAGTGGATTGAGTGCAGGCCTGTGAACCAAAGGGTCCTGGGTTGTATTGTCAGACAGGGCACGTGCCTGGATTGTGGACCGGATCCCCAGAAGGGGGCATGTGAGAGGCAGCCACACATTGATGTTTCTCTCCCTCTCTTTCTCCCTCCCTTCCTCTCTCTTTAAAAATAAATTAATTTAAAAATTATTTTTATAATATGTATCTATTTTTAAAACTTTTTAGATGAGTAGGAGAAAAAGGAAGAAACGGGGGGGGGAGACGCCAAATTTTGTTTCCCATTGCTGTTTATTCATTCATTCACTCACTCATTCATTCATTCAGCAAACTTTTATTGAGCACCTGCTATGTTCCAGGCACCATTCCAGAGCCTGGGAATGCTCCAGTGGGGCAAACTCTTGGCATCAGAGTTTATATGTATTATCAAGGGACACAGACAAAACAATAAAGCTTTTAACGATTATGTCAGGCTCCATGAAAAAAAACACGGGGTCAGAGGACGAGGAGGAGGACTGGCATTTTAGATAGGTGTTTTGTGCGGTCCACGCACTCCCACAAAGGGAATAATCACGGATGCCACAGTGCCACCTGTAACCTTTCCTTTGCGCTTAGCTTCAACAAGGTGGGGAGGTAGGGAAGGAGTAGTGCACACGGAAGGTTCAGGGCGCATGCTCCCTTCAGCTCCAGGGCTCCGAGTTTTTTGTTGTTGTTGTTGTTTTGTTTTATTTTTTTTGTTTTTTGACAAGGACTCAGTCAGCGAGGGAGAGTGCGCAGCCTTCTCCGGTTAAAAGGCAGCGCCCAATAGTAACTTCCTTTGAGATTGGAGTCCCGCCTCCACAGCTTCTCCTTCTGCTTCCGCTTCCGGCGTTGAGGAGGTCCTGGTCAAAAATGGCAGCGGCAACTGGTTCCCGAGTTTCTGCGCTGCTAGGTCGTTTCCGGCCTCAACTAGCACGGTCTATGTCAAGTGGTGCCCATGGCGAAGAGGGCTCAGGTACTGAGGCTGGAGTCTGTGGGGCGGGCTTCAGTCTCAACTGCAGCGAGCTGGTGCAGGGCTGTGACCTTGGCTTGAGGCTTAGGGGGAGGGGAATAAGACCTGGGCGGGCCCTCGCTGCAGGCCTGAGCTGTCTTGCCCCTTTGCAGCTCGCATGTGGAGGGCCCTTACCTTCTTCGTTGCGCTCCCCGGGGTGGGAGTAAGCATGCTGAACGTCTTTCTGAAGTCGCATCACGGAGAGCACGAGAGACCCGAGTTCGTCGCCTACCCCCATCTCCGCATCAGGTCCAAGGTACGCCCTTGTATTTTCTTGGAGTGTCCGTTCTCCGTTCATTCCAAATGCCCTCGTCCAAGTTCTAAATTCTCTAAAAGCGTGGATTCTGGGCCTGTATAATTTCTCATTTAATAATACCAATTTTTATTTTCTCCTGTTTTATGGAACGTTCCGTTCCTGAGACCTGGGGGGGGCGGGCGGGGAATGTCAGTCACTTCGCAGTTTCTTCTTTAAAGTTATACAGTAAATGCCCTTGATGCCCTTGAGTTTTCCTTTTACGATTCATACCACCTCTTCTGATACTGTTCTAAAACAGCTGGTGGTTGTTTAAAACTTGGAGGTTTGGGAAACTTTCTTAGAGTGGCAAAGTCGAATGTGGTTCAACTTCCTAGGACCTGGACACCTGGCAGGCACTAGCTGCAATGAATAGACTGACACCTTCAGTTCTCCTTTAGGCTATATATCTTTTCAACTATTTTATCCTTTGGCTGTTGATGTAGTTATAACATCATTGGTTTTCTGTTGTTTGCTGTATTCTTAACAAGATCCTCTTCTGGTTCTTTAATGACTGTTAGATCATTTAGTCCAGGTAGTACTGGCCTCATAGAAACTTAGGCTAGATTAAATTCAGAAAGAATTGGGCTGTTTGAGCCCCACTCCCACCCTTGAACAGTAGCATTAGAAGCCATAAAGCAAGGTTTGTCGCCCTCAGTACTATTGACATTTGAAGCTGGGTAATTCTTGCAGGGACAGGCTATTCTATTCTGTCAGTTGTAGCATGTCTAGCAGCATCCTTGGCTTCTACACACTGGATGCCAGTAGTACCTCATCCTGCCTCAGATGTCTCCAGATATTGCCCAGAGTCCCTGGAGGGGCAAAATCCTGGGTTGGAAACCACTGCCCAAGAGCAGTGCTTTTCAAAGGTAGCATGTGAGTGTTTTCTGCCCAGTACCAGACCTCTGCCATTCCCATACAGGCGATTTGAGGATGACACTTTCTGATATACCAGTTACCAGGCTTATAAAAACAAATTTGAGTTTGCTTTTCCTTTTATCTACTTCAAGGGTTCTCTTGGAAGTTATAAGAGCTCCCTTAAATTATGGTAAGGCTGAAGTACGCCAGGTAAATAGACTGATTTCCATTTTGTTTTATGTATTATCTGCCACTTCATCTGTTTAAGCAGTTCATGGTGATGCTGTCTCTGAACTATTTTTTGGAATGGCCTAACTGACATCTTCACTCCACAGCCCTTTCCCTGGGGAGATGGTAACCATACTCTGTTCCATAACCCTCATGTGAATCCACTTCCAACCGGCTATGAAGATGAATAAAAAGAACCTGGACCACTGCCCACTGGGGACCACAGCGCTGGTTTGGACCATTACTCTGCACATGGACCAGAAAAATACATGGGACCTTAAGCTGACCTTCTTTCCTAATATCAAATGATGACTAAAGTATACTAATCTTCCATCTCTTTGCTAATAGTAGGAGGTGGCTTAAATAAATAACTTAGTCATGAGCTCAGCTGCATTCATTGGTGGTGTTTTTCTCTTAGAATGAGCATTAATGTTATCTCTGTTTCTGCAGTGAAGAACTGGGGCCGCTGTTTAGTTTCCAAGTCCAATTCAGGCTTCTGGATAACAGTGCCTCTCCTTGGTCTCTTGTGCCTGGGGGAGGTAAAGCAAAGGGAGTGGAGCTGATCATCAGGATTGGGTCCTGACAGACACTGTGTGGCCAGTAGCTGTTGTTTTTTTAAGATTTTTTTAGAGAGGGAGAGAAACACCAATGTATGGTTGCCTCTCACATGCCCCCTACCAGGGACCTGGCCTGCAACCCAGGCATGTGCCCTGACTGGGAATCGAACCAGCAAACCTTTGGTTTGCAGGCCAGCATTCAGTCCACTAAGCTACACCAGCCAGGGTACGTGGCCAGTAGTTTCATCTAAAAGAGGTATTTGGTATTCTCAAGAGGAAGTGCTTCCTCTGTATCTCAGCTTTCTCCTATCCCATTCCATCAGCATTTGCTGCAGAATACTCCCTGTACTCAGATCATTTTCTCCCCTTGGAGGTTGGAAGGGTCAAAAACCTTTGGAGAAATAAAGGTATTATCTTTGAAGTAGCTGAGATAGTTGGAGGATGAAGTCAAAATAGCATGAGGAACAATAAACCAAAAGTTTTCTCTCAGTAGTAATTACATTAAAAGAACTTGGTTGGCCTGGAGCCAATTTTCTCAAGGCTCAACCAGACAGTTATGTGGTAAGATTCAAGAAGCTACGAGGTTTTGGTGTTAGCGAATACAGAAGACTGGCACTGCGCAAAAGTGAGACACATAGAAACCTAGGAAACATAGAAAACCATTTACAGTCACGAAAAAAGAATGCCTGTTGTCTCTGCCATTTGGTGATGTAACGACAGCCTACGCTTCCCTGTGGAGCTGTTGTGTTGTGGCCCATCTGAGTTCAGGACAGATGTACTCATCCTCATGCAGCTTGCTGTCTGGCCTCCCTCAGCTGGGTTCCAAATAGTCTTTTATAATCCTTGTAAAATGGACCTTAAAAAGTCAAAATATAAATGCAGAATGTTTTGAAATGACATTAGGGACTGGTTACGTTAAACTTGGAGTAGTAATCGGTAAAGAGTAACAGAATTGAGGCTTTCTTTAAATCAAGTTTTATACTACTGAACCAAATTAATGAAGATAGTTGTAGCAACTACATGACATTCTAAAGGATGTAAGTGCGCACCTGATCCTGACCTTTTCTGCCATTACATAAACATTTTAAGATATCTTTGTAACTGTAGAAATAAACTTTACAAGTCAGTGAGGTTTCTAATTGTTATATCATGCAACCCAGCTTAGATAAATCATAACTTTTTCTTCACCTTTACATTATAAGACAAAACTCCCCCCAGTGTATTTGTGGGATATGTGGGGTAATGGGGTAATAGCTATTCTATAAAGTGTACTGAGTTCCACGGGGCCAGTAATGCTAGAAACTAAATGTTACAGTTTATTCCATCTTCATGATTACAGACATTACAGGGCAGGGTGGGTAAACAAGGCAAATAAAGCAAACTCCTTTCTCCTCCTGTTTGACCAGATACAGCATTTTGGCATTTTGATGATACACAGGTTGACTTAATTAATTCATTGACTTAGGTCGAAAAGCTGGCAACAGCAAATCTTTGCAACGTAGGATCTTCCTCCAGCGACCTCAATGACTGAACTGTACTGTGAGCTCTGAGTGGTGCTCACTGTAACATTCTTGGAACTTTCATGTCTTGATCTTGACACCTCTTGGTAAGGCTGGGAATTGTTAAAAGGCCTCCTGGCTAATCCAGTCCACCAGCAATCTTAACAGTTAACTCACTGTATAAAAATAAAACTCCCAAGCATTGACTGAAACTGCTGTCCTGAGACCCCTTTTCAGAGAATTAGCTCCTGGAGAGGAAAGAGGCCCTAACCAACTATTTCTGTGACCGCCCCGCCCATACAGTATACCTACTGTCCTTCGAAGCATAACTCAGAAGGTCAGGTGACCATGATCATCCCAACAAGTTTATCAGTATTTACATACAAGTATATTTAAAGCTGATCCCAGATGAAGTATTGTAACCATAACCCCCAGAAGTCATTCAGTTTTAGTGCGAGTTCCTGCAAGATGCCCGTGAAAGCGAGAAATCGTCCCAAAGTAAAAAGTGATGGTTCATCATCTTTTACAAGTGAGAAGAAAACATCTAGAAGGAGGGAAACACCCGCCCCAAACACACACCAAACTCCTCATTAAATTGATGGCTCTCTTCACAGTCTTAACACCATCCAGAGTGCTCAATTTCCTGATTTGAGCAGTCCATTTTCAAGGTGACTGTCAAGGTCAAGAAGAGCTTTCAGGCTTTTCTCTACCATGGCCCATGAACTCCAGTCCTTCAATGGGGATCTCTTTCTCCTTTATTGCTTTCTGATGGGAGCAGAAAAACATTATAAAGGTCAATATGAAGCTTACTGACTTTGAGCAAGCTTCACTTCCTGTATGCAGACAGAATAAAGACAGCAACAACTGGAGTGAGGAAGGGTAGAAAGGAAAACAGACCAATGAAGGGATAATAACAAAAAAGGAAACCATAATGGCTAACAGGTCAGAGAGAGGCTACCACCCTGCCCCGCTCCCAAACAATAATGGAAAAGTGCACCACCGCAAAAATCAAGGCAACTCGATTCTAGCGAACTTGGCCTAATCACTTCCGATTTCTGGGCGTGAGTGTTCCACTTTTCAAATACGAACTATGCCTCTTCTGCAAGTTTAAGATGACCACTAAGTGAACCAAAGAATGCCCCTGTGCTCCGTAAAAAGTAAAGCGCTACCAAACATTTAACTTTGTCACCAGGAGAGATACCAGGCAGCCTTCGTGGTGGCGGCAGGAGAGAGAACTCCTGTCCTCTGCCACTGGCCTCATTGACAAGACTTTTCTCCACCCTTCCCGTCCCAACCCCCGCAAGATACGAGGCTTGAGGCCGTGACACAGCGGAGAACGCGGGGTCGAGGGTAGGGACGACGGCCGTGGCTCACCTGAACACACTGCTGGTAGCGCTTGAAGAGCTCGGTGCACGGGTCCCCGGAGGCGTCCCCCTTGAGGAACTTCTCGGCAAACCACCGGTTAAAGCACTGATCATACTCGCGCTTCATGTCAGTGCATCCCTCCCCTACGCTGTTCATGGCGGCGACAGTGGCGGCGCACTGATGTCATCATTCTTATGCAAGTCGCTCGGCTTACGTAAGCACGGTACGGAGGCCGAGTAGAGGAGAAATGTGGACGAGGGCTGCGCGGCTGGTCCTTCGAGTCTGGGTGGGTGGGCGCCGGGGCTTCACTTCCAAGGCAGAGCCTCAGGTAAAGGCTGGGAGGAGGGGGTGTCTGCACTCGTAGTGAAACAGCTCTGGAGGCTCAGCTTGCCGCACCCGTGACCCACACCCTGTTTCGCCCGACCCCTCCCCAGGGAAGTGGGCGAATCACCGCGGATGTGATCAAACACCTGGAGCGTCTAGCGCTTGTGGACTTCGGCAGCCAAGAGGCCGTGGCGCGGCTGGAAACAGCCGTCGCTTTTGCCGACCGGCTCCGCGAGGTGGACACGGACGGGGTGGAGCCCATGGAGTCAGTACTGGAGGACAGGTAAACCCGAGCCTTTCCCGAGGCGCCTCCGCAGCCATTGAGGGTGGCGATTAGTGTCTCATTTCACAGAGGGAGAAAGAGCTTTAGGCGAGTTGCAGGAACTTGCCCACGATCACCCCGCGGGTAAGTGGTTTCACTTTTCTCCTTATGTGTCCTGTCGCTCTCGTTTGAATACTTCAAGGCCTCCCAGTGTAACTAGGAACAAAATCCGAACTGCTTGTCACCCTCGAAGATTTAGTTCACAGACTCGCTGCCTTCCACTCGGACGTACTGCTTTTATCAGTTGAGCCACATCGGCTTCATTGCTGTCTTTCCAACACGCCACATTAGTTCCTTCTCTAGCATGTTTGCACGTGCTGTTCATTTGGTCTTGGACAGTCTGTCTCTTTGGCAGGTCTAGTTTATCTCCTCTGAAGGGCCTTTTCTGATCACTCCAAATTCCCAGTTCCCCTTCCTTAGCCTGTTGGGTTTTCTTCAAATAGTTTTCTTGCTTATCTTTGCTTATTTGTTGTCTCTTGCTATTAGAATGAGTTCATGTCTGATTTGCTTACTGTTGGATTCCCGTCTCAAATTTTTATTTTTAAAATTACATATTTTCTGATCTAGCGGTTCTCTACGGAAATATCTGTGAAAGTGCATCAAAATGTGTGCACAAAGTGTCCAGAGTATGCAAATCTGTTCGTAGTTAAAAAAAAAACCCAAAAACAATCTAAGTGTCCTCCGTGGCTAAATACATCATCATATAATACAGTGGACTGTTCAGCAGCTGTTAAAAATAAACTACATATGCTGACATGGAAAGGTCATTAAGATATATTTAATAAAAAAGGCACAGTTCAGAACATTGTGTACAATATTATCAATGCTTTATGTGTTACCTATTTTACATATTTGGGTGTATGCATTAAATTTTCTTTTGTTTCTTGAAAAGGCATGCAAGAAACTTACCAACGGTTAGTTTCAAGGAAAATGGGGATGCAGAGGGAAGTTTTAACTTTTCATTTTATACCAAGAGCCAAAACACACATGCCCAGGGCGTGGAGGAGTCACACAAGCACTGAAGTGCAGTGTAAGGCAGGAAGGAGGGGCGGGGTCTTAGACAGACTGACTGGCTCGATTACTGAAAGGGCACAGCCTCTACCCACTCTACCAATTAATTGTTGCCTAATCTTAATGTTTTTAAAAGATAAAGTTCTTCTCCAAAAAACAGACTTGTTTGCTGTTTGGCACAGCAGCTTTTTTTTAGTTAGGATGGATATGTAATCATAAAAATAGGGGTAATCTACAACTTTGTCCTAAACTTTGCCTGATGGAATTTTTTAAAAACATAAACTAAGGCCTTCCCTGGCTGGTGTAGCTCAGTGGATTGAGCCCGAGCCTGTGAACCAAAGGATCACGGTTTGATTCCCAGTCAGGGCACATGTCTGGGTTGCAAGTCAGTTCCCAGCAGGGGACACATGAGTGGCAACCATACATTGATATTTCTCTCCCAGTCTCCTTCCCTTCCCCTCTAAAGATAAATAAATAAAATCTTAAAATAAAATAAAAACATAAACTAGTTCAGGTGGGAACAAGATTACGTAAGCTCTGCGTAAACTGCTTCCTGGCTTCCTGTTCTGAACTCGTCTTTGATTCCTTCAAAGCTTTTATTTTGTATTTTGATGCTCAGGTCTACAGAGTTTAACTAATTTGTTACACAAAGTTACACAGATTTCTGTTTCAAAACAAATCTGATGTCATTCTTCTACCCAAACCCTTCTCAGGTGGGTTTAGCTTAAAGATGGAAGTTTCACCGCAGTAGGCAGAGCGTTCTTTAACTGACGCCCTGCCTACCTCTCCAAGACAATGCTGTCACTTTCAATTCCTCTAACTCCACATTCTTTTTTCTTCAAGGTCCTTGTCTGTACCCACCCACCCCACTTGTCCTTGTTGCCTCATTTCTAAAGATTCCAACCGCCCCTCCCCAGGACCTGCAGCTCTCATGATTTTCAGTGATGCTGGAACTTTACATGTATTAATACATCTGAGTGATTCTGGGTTCCCCGCCTTTCTACTCCCGTTCATCCACCTTCCAGGCAGCGTGTTTGCTATTGCTCATCATGTTCTCAGTATCTAGCACTGAGCAGACACTCAGTAAATGTTTGCTGGCTGTTCTTTACTAACATCTTTGGAAAAGTAGGGAACAGAAACACAAGACAGAATTTCCCAAGTCACCTAGAGGGTAAAGAAATGCAATTATTACTTACAGGAGAGTTTGTGGAGATGATGAAAGGGATTTGGGTCTGACAGCTGGAATAGTGACTTGGTATGCAGTGATACGCAGTCTTGCCATAAATTTGGAAACCAGTTTGACTTATGATTCCATTTCAGAGACGTGACATTAGAAGGACTTTCATGTTTTGAACATGTTGCCTATCATTTGGTTTGAACTAAAAAGCATTAGCATGTTTACATGCCAGGCACTAATATTTATATGCAAAACTCAGTTATCACAACCTTGGAAGGCAAATACTAGTATCTCTAATAGATGAAGAAACTGAGGGTTACAAAGATTATGTAACATGTCCCAAGGTTTCACAGGGAGTCAGAGATTTCCAAGCTTGGTGCTCAGAGCCTTACTGCTTTACCTAAGCCATCTAAAGTCCACCCCTGGAAACTTGATCATCCTCATCTCAAATCCAGAGACTGACTTAGATGTGACTTGAATGACATCTCTGATTGCAGCCAAATACTTCAATGCTTAGGATGTCTCTCAGAGCCTTATTTGAGTCAAAAACTCTTCATCGAAATGATTAGCATCATACTAGAAAAAAATTAGGAGAGAAAAGGCTTGTAGGTGATGGAGGTAATAAGGTGGTGTCCAGATAAGGACTCCTGGCAGCCTGAATCCAGGGAAGGGCAGAAACTGCAACGGCAGAGCTGTCCACTGTCAGCCCAAGGGCCAGCATAACCACCTGTCTTTCCTCCATGCTGCTGTATTGCTTTACATTAAGTGCTTATTATATTTGCATTTCCCAGCTACTGGTTTAAGTATCTGTGAGCTTTGGAGGGCAGGGATTTCTAGTTCACAGTTGAAGCCTTTCTCAATCCGGATTTCTCATCTGAACCCGAACACAGAAAGATCCAAGTGATTCTCTTCAGTTTGCCCAAGGGTGGTTCCTATGTACACTTGATTGTAAAAATGGCTGCCTTGCAGTACCTGAACTAAATTCTTTTGTACAGCTTGGACTGAGAAAGACGAGGTGAGGTAGGCACTTAAGTCAATCAGTGATTCACAGACACTGAAAGAGTTTATCAATTCCTGGCCAGTGTTTTACACGATTCCGGGGTCAAGAAAAGCTAACCGACATGCCAACTGAAGGGTCTGCATGGTGTGCCCCTCTGAGACCCTGGGTTCAGTAACTTATGATGAAGAAAACAGTGGTGTGGGTTTATTCTAGATACAACTTCATCATAAATAGTAATTAGGTGGAAATGTGTGACATTTCAAGGGGTGAATTTTGTTTTTCTGGAAATGTTACATAGGAAACTTGGTAACCAAATGAGTAAATAAGTCAGCTGTTACGAGATCAACTCTTGGCAAGCAGTAGCTTTTAACCCATTGGTGGCAGAGGTAGAGATTTTTCTCCCAGAGGCCAAGAAGTTAGCATCTTGATGTCTGTAGGGCGTAGGCAGGTTAAGCATGGTTATGGCAAGTAAAGTACCAGTTACACTCTGAATGAGTAGTGGGGACTGAGGCGTACTTGGGCGGTACTCACTCTAAAAAGGAGCAGTGCTATTCAGCACCCATCTCTTACTGACATTACATTATCTTTTTTTTTTTATTTTTTATTTATTTATCTTTAGAGGGGAAGGGAAGGAGAGAGGGAGAGAAACATCAATGTATGGTTGCCTTTCATGTGTCCCCTGCTGGGAACTGGCCTGCAGGGAACCAGCCTGGAACCCAGGCATGTGCCCTGACTGGGAGTTGAACCTACATTATCTTTTTAAAACATCATTTAATCTTCCCAGCAACTCTATGAAGCATTCTACAAATAAGCTGATGCATGGAAAGGAAAAGTAATTTATTCATGGCCCTGGCCGGGTGGGTTACTTGGTTAGAGTGTTGTCCTGACATGCCAAGGTTGTGGGTTTGATTCCCCAGTTAGGGCGCATACAAGAATCAACCGATGAGTGCATCAATAAGTGGGAAAACAAATCAGTGTTTGTTTCTCTCTCTTCCTCCTCTAAAATCAATTTTTAAAAAATGTTAAAGTAATTTGCACATATGCCATGTAAAGGTGGCTGTGGCAAAAACACTCATTGCTGTTGTTTGAATTCAGCTGTGATTTAGGAGCCCCCGCTCTTACCAATTTTGTTTTATTGCACAACAGAAATATAAACTCCAGAAAGTTCAGTGGTCACCTTCATGAGTATTTATTTTTGTTCTCCAAGTTTTCTTAAATAAACACATAATCCTTGTATGACTAACAAAAAAATACTAGTGGAACCTTCACTTTTTTTGGCAAAAAACTTCAGGACTGGAAAGATCACAGTTAAGACAATGCCAGATCCTGGAATGGACTCCAGCTGTCCACTCTTCAGACTATGAGTGAGTGCTTACTGTGTTTAGCCTTAGGCTAAGTGCCACCAAAAAAAACCCAACCTCAAAACACCCTAATCCCTTTCTTACAACTTAGCATTCTAGGCAGCCTCTGCCCAGATGTGCTTGTCACATCCTTGCCCCTTTGTCCCACTAGGTTTAGCCCTAGGCCTCTGCCTGACTCAAAACAGAAATAGCTTGCCTGCTCCCCTCTCAGTGATTGAGCAGACTGCTGGGTTTTGAGCCCAAATACCTGGAAGCAGGCTGAGACCTCCTGTCACGCACTCCTAAACCTTGAAACAGTAGTGAGATGTTCATCTCCTGTTTGGCTTCACTAGTTTGCCATCTGGATACTTTAATGAAGCATTAGGCCAGAACTGTTTGTGGTATATCTTGCAAGGGAGGCAACTTTATCTACTTCACAGGTAGCTGCAGTGAAAAAAAGCCCTTGTCTTAGAGTACCAGAACTCAGCACAGATCCCAGTTTTATCTCTTGAGCTAGTATCCTTAAGTCATTTACAGCCACTCCTGACAAGTTACCTGCCAGTAAGTTCTTTTCCCATCCTCCCAATCCTGCCAATTTTTGCCTATCTTTAGTAGTGACATCACTTATTCTGTGCACTCTGCTTTTTACCCAGGCTGTCCTACTTACTCCCTTGGCAAATTGTGCTTACCTGTTAGATTTAACACACTGTACTTAAATTGCCTTTAATAACCTATCTCCACCAAAAGCAATTTACCCTTAGTAATTATCCAAAAATATTTCAACATTATCAATCCCGAGGAATAACAGCCACTTACCGCACAGGTTGTTGGGAGAACCTAGAGTGTAGACTAATTTGATCCAGTGGTGACCACAGATCCTCCACCTTTGAGCAGTGACCAGCACTCAAGAATATGCTGCTCCCTGCTCCTCCCACCCGAGCCTCTCCACCCATGCCTTAGAAGTCCTGTTCTCTAACAAGGTAACCTTAAGCTTCTGGTTTTGTAGATGTCTTTACTTGAGATCCGACAATGTGGTAGAAGGTAACTGTGCTGAAGAACTACTACAAAACTCCCGTCGAGTTGTGGAGGATTATTTCGTGGCCCCCCCAGGTACGTGTTTCCTGAAGTGTTTAACAAAATTGTTCCACAGTAAACTAAGAACATAGGAGGAACTGTGAGGCCCAAATCTGCTATGTGAAAGCACTCTGAAAAGTATAAACTAGAATTAGATGAAGATGGTCAAAAGGTACAAACTTCCAGTTACAAGATAAATAAGTCTTGGAGATGTAATGTAGATGATGACTATAGTTAACAATACTGTATTGTATATTTGAAAATTGCTGAGATATTAGCAGTTCTCAAGAAAGAAATTATGTGAAATGACAGGTATTAAATAATCTCATTCTGGTAACTGGCAATATATACATGTATCAGATCATTATGTTGTACAGCTTAAATTTATACAGTGTTGTGTGTCAATTACATTTCGGTAAGTCTGAAAATAATAAAGACATGTATTAACAATTTTAAAAAGTATAAAGTGATACTGGTGCACCAATAATGGGGTCATGCTCATCTCTAGGGGCCGGTTGGTAACAAGAATGAGCAAACAGAACCGGGCTGGGGAGGAGTGTGTTCAGTAGCAAATCTGGAGTTCAACCTGTTCCTAAAGGGGCAGCTGGCATTCACTGCTTCTCATTCAGTGCCAGGCAAGGATGGGAGCCCATTTCCCCAGAGAACATGGACACCTGGCATTTTGTGTAGTACTTCCCAAATTTCAGGTACTGGCAACCAATTCAAAATTTAAAAAAGTAAAAGACCATGCAAATAAAACATACCTGCAAGCCAGATGCATCCTGTGAGCCATCAGTTTGCAGCTTTAAATTTCACTGCAACTATTTTAGATGGAAGCTTTAAAACAACTCTAAGCCAAAAATGAAATCTAGAACCTTGGGTGGGTTAAATTATTTTTCTCTCCTCTATAGATAAGAGTGGGTCCTTGGAGCTTCTGTACACCTCTAGATATTTGGGGATGGGACTAGCCTAAGCACTCAGGTAGAGATGGCTTTCCAAATGCCAACTTCAAGTTCAGGAGATCCACTCAGAGGAGGACTGAGCAGCCTCCAAAAACAAACATCAGCCCTCCAGCTCAAAGGTAACTTCTTTGATCAAGGTCAACCAGTCAAAGGAAAGCTCTGGTTGAAGCAAGGATGGGAAGGAAAGCTAAAAAAATTTGTGAACTCTACTCTTAACTCTGCCTCTGATTCACTAAATGACCTCAGTTAACTGTGGAAATAAGATCTCAAAACCCATCTCAGGGCCAAATGGTTGTCACTGTTTCAGCAGACATATCCATTGATCACATGCTATTTCTAAATGGAACCTTCTGTCAGGCTTTGCTTCTTAGGACAAAGTGAGTTCACAATCAGTCTTCCTTTCACTCCTGTATGCATAAAGATGGCTAATTAATCTGTCTCTGCTCCTTACTGAAGAGTGCATTAATTAGGTTTCACTTGTAATTGTGATTCTTTCAGATATTCATGGCGAGAAAAACAGGATAGTAGCTACACATATTTCCTTTGCTTATTTTCCATGACAAACCAAGTGATACGTTAGCTCAGTAGAGCCAGTTGGGCAGCAGGCTCAGCTATAACATCTTTTGCATTATTGTTTTCAAACAGGTAATATCCCTTTGCCAAAGCTGGATGAGCAAGAGCCCTTCTCACAGAGCTGAGTAGCTATCCCAGGAAGGGGTATCCTGTGAACACATGGAAGCATGACAGTATTTCGTTATTATGAACACTAAAGTTCCCACTTCCTTCAGTAACCTGAAAAAAAATGATGGTTAAAGTATTTTTTGGTAACTCTTCTGAAGACAGAATTGGGAAAGATTTAGCCAAAACACAGCAATGAGTTCCTGACACTAAAGGAAGTAAAAGGTATTGTTAATTTCCAAGGAAATGTTCAGTTTGGAAGACAACATCCCCCTTTCTGTTCTCCAACGAAGACTGTGTACCCAACTGCACTTGAGTGAATTTTTCTGTTTCTCTCACTGTTAGACACTGAATCTGATCACACTCTGTGACAACCTGAGCTGTCCTTTTTAGCTGCTGTTTCCATCAACCTGAGCAGTATTTTATCTTTACTGAACAAACCCAAAGTTGTTCCTGGGTACCCACTTTTTTTCCAGAGGGCTAACTTTTTGTTAAGGTCTGAAGAGTGATCCAAGCAGAATATAGCTTTGGAACTCCCGGACCTGGAACCATCCACCATATCACACAATGATTACATGCAAAAGGGATAATTAGTCACACCTAGTTTCTCTTTCTAAAAACATAAAAATGGTCCTGGAATAGCTAACAATCTGTATCGTATATTAAAAACTTGCTGAGGGTAGCCCTGGCTGGTATGGCTCAGTGGACTGAGTGCTGGCCTGCGAACCAGGGTGTTGCTGGTTCAATTCCTAGTTGGGGCACATGCCTGGATCGTAGGCCAGGTCCCCACTGCGGGGCGCATGAGAGGCAGCCACACCCTGTTGTTTCTCTCCCTCTCTTTCTCCCTCCTTTCCCCGTCCTCTTAAAATAAATAAAGTATTTTTTAAAAATTTGCTGAGGGTAGATCTTAAATGTTCTTACCACATATAGGATAGATATGTTTACGGCACTGGTGGTAGTGGTTTCACGGATGTATTCCTAACCCCAAACCCATTAAATTGTATGTATTAAGTGGCTTTTTACATGTCAGTCATACACCAATAAAGTGGTTTTTGATCTTTTTTTAATACAGCCCCAAGCCTCGGACAAAGTAGACCCCTACCCCCATGATCATTGGATTGAGAAGAATCCAAGATGGTTTGGGGTGGGAGGGAGGTGGCTTTAAAGTGTTTGTTGTTTTTAAGCTCACATGGCTCACAAAGAACGAAATGGTGGTTGTGGGGCGGGGGACAGTTCTGGGACTGTGTGAAAAGGTGATGGGATTAAGTACTAATTGGTAGTTTAAAATAGGGGATGTAGAGTACAGCACAGGGAATCTAGGCAGTAATGTTGTCATAACTATGTATGGTGCCAAGTGCATACTGGAAATACCGGAGGGAACACTTTGTAAAGTTTATGATTATTTAACCACTATGCTTTACATCCAAAACCAATACAAAATAATATTGAAAATAAATTGTAATTGAAAAAGAAAACCCATGTGGCAAGGATAAATGAGACAGATTTAGAAAAGTGACAGAACCAGAACTCAGAAATCTTTTCTTTTCTAACCAAATTGCCAAAGCTGACTCCCAATGATCTTTATGCGGCTGCCCACTTATAAAAGTGTGTTTTTATTCTTCCCATTCCCTGCCCTATCAGCAATGCTCACTTTTTTTTTTTTAAAGCAACTTAATTTACAAGCTTGGCCTTAAACTATAAGAGAACCCTGAACCTGCCCTTGGGATGGAAGTTCTCAAACTACTGTAAGAGCAACTAACTTTATCCACAAATAAAGTTATCCATTCCTGCTCTTTACCATCTGGGTGTAAGTTGTCACTTCAACTCAGTGATGTATATTTTTTTATTCAGTGTGCCTGTTTGGTGAAATCTATGAACTTTAATCAAGGACAACCACACATGACAATTACTAAACGTTTAAAATATATTTCTAAACAGAATGGGCCCACTCAGTCATAGTAACTGCTGATCTCAGAGCAGAACAACCCACAAAGACAGCACTGATTTTTCCCCCATAATCAGGGGTGAAAAATACACAAGTTCTTTCTGAAACAAAACCACAATTCCTGCAGTTGAAAATGTTTCTTTCACTGCTAATATGGCCCTGGTAGAAATTATGTAGTTTTATTTCCTTAAAAAAAAAATTTAAAAAATTTCCTAAGACACTAAATCATCAATCTGGAATGTAAATTCTGAGCACAAAGCAGCTCAGTTGCCTAAAAAATAAAGACAAAGTTCCCATCACCTGTTTCAGTAGGGCCTGAAAGGAGAGAAGTAGTGTGGGGAACCCCTGCTTTGGTATGGAGAGTCGCGGCCTCTTGAACCAGACCGAGACCGTGAGTAGCCATAGCTGGTGCTTCTCTCTGGATAAACTCGGATGTAGGAAGTTTCACCCTGAAATTTGAATACAAAGAAAAGGGGAAAATAAGACCCAGAAGAATAAAGCACACCAACACCTAGCACAGCTGTATAACAGTAATAGTTAAGGACTGAGCACTAACTATTTGCCTGGCACAATGTCACCTCGTCAAGCCCTCAGAATTCTGAGAGGTAGGTACTCTTTAATAGCCCATTTCAAGAACACTCTCAGCTCTCAATGGTGTGGCTCGGTTGGGCACCATTCCACAAAGTGAAAGGTTGCCAGTTTGATTCTGTCAGGGCACGTACGTGCCTAGGCTGTGGGTTCGACTTCAAGTCGGGGCATGTGCAAGAGGCAACCGAATGATGTTTTACCATATCTGAATTACTGCCACTAACCCCGAGAACCTAAGAACTGAAAAGGACCACAGAGATCATATATACACACACACACAAGGTACGGCAAAAGTAGGTTTACAGTCGTTTGTATGGAAAATAATAAAAATACAAGAATACATCTGGTGTTTTACATATTCACCACTCTAAACCTACTTTTGCCCCCCTGTATAGTTCAGTCTCCCGCCACTTCATATGCATATTGCGATGGGCACCTATGGAAGGAGTTAACCTGTATTCAGCGTCTCCCAGTTGTCAAAACCTGGGGGGTAGATTTTCTAATTATTTCCATGTTTTTTCCTCCTAGCAAGTCTTATAAGACAGTGCTATTATTGTGACTGTCTTGCATACGGAGGAACCAGGGTTGAGAGTAGCTCAGCTTAGCAGCAGGAATCATGTTTAGGTTGGCATTTTTCCAGGCCCTTTGCCTTTAGCCAGCATTTTCAGATCTAAAGATGCTTTAAAATGAAATAAACCAGATGCTCTCCAGCCACATGTAGTAATTGGATTTACCCTGAGGCTCTGCTATGCAGTGTATCTGACCAAGTGCTATTTTGTTTCTGCTCCAAATTCAAGTCTCAGGGCTTAGTCCAGGCCAAGGGCCTTGCTAAGCCATACAGCCTCCAAGCCATAAAATTAGGGAATATGTGAATCCTTAGAGAAAGAAATAGCCCTGGCTGGTGTGGCTCAGCAGATTGAACAACAGACTAGGAAGCAAAGGGTGGCCAGTTTGATTCCCAGTCAGGGCACATGCCTGGGCTGCAGGCCAGGTCCCCAGTATAGGGCAAGCAAGAGGCAACCACACATTGACGTTTCTCTCCCTCCGTCTCTAAATAATTAAATAAATAAATAATATGTATACAAAGCAAGAGGCAACCACACATTGATGTTTCTCTCCCTCCCTCCCTCTCAATAAATAAATAAATAAATAAATAAATAAATAAATAAACAAATAAAATGTATACAAAAAGAAATAGACCAAGATATTCATGTCCCCAGACAACCCTAAACCCCAGAGCAATCCAGGACAGGACAACCAGAAAGAAACATGTCCAACTGGTAGTCTAGGTATCTTATGGTATCGAAGGGTTAGTCAGAATCAGACAGACTGAGATATCCAGAGCAGCAGATGTCCTCCTTGAATGGAAGGACATCCAAGAAGGACATCAAGAACTAAGCCCCAAGGGTGAAGTGATCAACCACAATAATAAGGTTTGCTTAGTTTTCAGAAAGGATCCTGCACTACTTTGGGAAAGAAAAATGAAGAGTCAGCCCCAACAGTAGAACCTAGAAGGGCTGAGATGATGAAGCTGGCTTGCAGAGCCCAGACTACACCCAGAGGAGGGACAGCCATAACATTCAGGTTCACTGAGAGAGACTGCCAGTTATGAGAGGGATGCTATCACAATAGCTCACCACATTGTGACAGACTGTACCAGTATTCTCTCCAGGTTAAAAATACTGACTGCAGACTTCTCTTTATGACCCTGCAGGGCTTACTCAAAATGAATTTCCCTGGCTCTGTCCACTTAAAGATAGATCTTTAATGGTCATTAAATGGCAAATGCATGACCTGTTGGTACTTCTGCTAGGTCAGCTTTAGGTGCAGTGAACTGGGTACAAGCTCTTCAACAGAAGGTGGAGACCCACCTCATGAGAGCGGAATTTGGTGTCATCCAGTTTACGCAGGGCATATTCCATGTCTTCTTTTCTGAGATACTCAACCATCCCCATTCCATCCTTCTGTACATCTGCATAACACACGTCCCCAGCTTCTCGCATGTGATCCTTCAGGTCCTGCCAGCTTCCTGAGGGAGGAAGTCCTGGGCATGGAGAACATAAGAGGCCAACATCCTTCAGCTGTGTTAATTGCCCTGTTTAGAGCCAGCAGTACCTAGGGTCCCTTCTCCATCAATCACTACTTTTAAATCCTGAGGGTCCCCACATCACAAATCTTGGCAAGGAAGATTCAACTAGAGAAGAGCACTAAAGTATGTGTAGTAAACCACTTTAAAGAAACTGGTCCCAGGCTAATCTTCCAGAACAAGCCTTTCCAACACAGCAAGAACTCCATCTCATTACAGGTTTGCATCTCTTGAGAATTCATAGCCTCTCTTTGTCCTTCACAATTAATATCACACTTTCAAGACTTTGAGTTCTTTTTTCCATATAAAATTATCAGTACCAATGATTTCTTGCCTAACTAGGTCCCCAAGACATGGGAATTTGAAACCATCCAATGAAATAACCAAAGTGTAGCAGAAGGTAGCAACACAACAAAAATCTAAAGTTTGTTTGCTTTTTTATAGGTGTGATTAACCGACAAACTAGACTAAATACCTCTTAAAAGACCACCAATATTCTCCAATACAGTGGGGGGAAAGGTAAGACTCAGATGCTAAAACTAGTCGGGAGTAATACACCCCTACCTGATGTCATGAAAGGGAAATGTGCTCCTGCTCTCAAAGGCTGTGTTACCGTCCACAGCTCAGGACTGCAGCCATTTCCTAATAGTTTTCTAAGCAGGATTTCAGAGCAGCATGGAGAGAGAAAAAATATGACATCCTGAAGGAGTGAGTAGAGTTCTGGGGTTAAATTACTTACGAAGGGACACAAAATAGGCAGATACTGATAGTATCATTCTTAAGCACCAATGGGAGTCAGCTGTGACTGTAATATTCACATCTAAGAAGGTGCCAGGTTCCTCAAGACATTTCACTCCACCAGGGCCCTAAAACACCCCTGAATGTACAGAAGCACCCCAGGTCTTTACCAGTGTGGTAATATTTCAAAAGATGCATAAACCTCAGAGCTTATCATTTCATCACTGGTCAACACCAGACCTTTTATTCTACACTTTGTAATACAATCCCTAAGCTGCCAAGTTGTTTTTCTGTTTTTACATATGTCCAAAAACACAAAAACTGGCCTTTTTCAGGATCCAAGTTGTTTAAGTCTGGCTCCTGGAATGTCTTTTCTATCAAGTCAAATACCATGGGACATTCCAGAAGAAAACACCTTTAGAACCATCTTCAGTTAAGGGTTTTTTGCCATCATCTTCCCTTTCAATGCTAGAAAACTCTATAAGAAACAAGTTTGTTAGAACAAGGTTGCACTACCAGGGCAACTTCATCTGCAAGATACCTGCCTCACTGGCAAGACAGGCAGGTTTAGACTGTCAGTGTGCACAGGCTATAAAAAAGAAAGCCCCATTTATGCCATGCACTGAAGAACAGCTAACATTTCTTGAAGGCCAGACTGTACTAAATATATTCTACATTCATCATCTCATTTGGTTCTTCAAAAGAACATACCTGAAACAAGAACTCGGAAATCAGATCTTCTTGTAGGAGGCCCATTCCTACCACCACGGGGCCACCCACCGCGACCTCCATATGTTCTGGGGAACTCCACACGAAGCCGACACTGGCCATAATCATAACCATTCCTTCCATAAATGGCATCCTCAGCATCTCTGCAAAGAAAAGTTTGGTGTTAGTGCTGCTCAGGAGACTGAACGACTTCCCAGTGAGGGGCTTAAGTAACAAGTATCAAAGGAAACCTACAATGAGAAAATAAAACAGAATCTCTGATGCAATACTGCTTTGGTCTGAAGACCTTACAAGATATTGAAATTAAGCTTTACAGCTGTCACATACAGGGCTTTCTAGGTATGAAATGATAATAAATGAGTTAACAGATTACTTATAGGAGAACTAATTCAGAAACAAAAAGGAATAAATTAACCAATAACTGATTTTGCAAATAAAATAGTATTTCTCTAACTTTGGTGGACAGTTTCTCAAAATGCATACCACACATTAGTCCTTTAATACTCTCTCCTACAAGGCCTAATACTATTGAGTCTAGAGAAAGAAAAACCCATTTAAAAAGAAGTCTCAAAACACAAATGCAATTTAGTGTTTTGTGAGACTATAAAACTTTCTCAAGCATGTTTTCAGCATCGTTTGGAGAAGTTGTCAAAACCACTATCTGGGTACAGTTTTGCAAAAAAGAGAAAATGTCCTTTAGTCTTTCCTAGAGCTCTAGGACAAAGCTAGAAAAACAGAGATCAGGCTCCAGTTTACCCCAAGTTGAGTAACCAGCGCAGTCGGGCGGCTTCTAAGAACCTCCAACCGCAGTTTTGAAAGTTCCTGTCTTTTCCGGGCCGACGAAGTTTGCAAAATCACAAAGACCCCTTTGAACCGGTTCAGGGACGGAGAACTTCCAAACCCTCGCGCCCCTTAGCATTTACCGTACCTCCCTTATTAGAGGAGAGGCGTGAAACCAGAGACCCCCCCCGCCCAGGCCAGTTTCAAGAATTTTTTCCAAACCCGGGAGCTTTTGGAAGGTCTAGGTCCCGGCCTTGTGGGCGGGGCGCGCGCCGACCGAGCTCTGTTCCGTCACAGAGACCCCTGAACGATTCCCAAAAGCACCTACAGCCTCGCAGCCTGGGTCCCCCCTGGACGGCGCGTTCGACCGCGGAGCCGGGGAGCGAGGGGTGGCGACTGGCCACTCCTGCTCTTCGCCGAGTCTTCTCCCGCTGGTTCCGGGGCCAAGGTCCCCAAGCCCGGCCCGCTTCCCCTTCAGGGTGCCTCTCCAGCCGTGAGGAAGAGAATGATCATTCGTTCATTCGTTCCATCCCTGAGGCCGATTTGGGCGGGTTTGGGCCCCCCGAAGGCCCAGCTTTGTGTTTTTAAGTAAAGTAAAAACAAAGCCCAATAATAATAATAGAGGAAGTGACGCTAGCGCAAGGGACGGCCCGGAGTCCACGGTGAGGGGAGGCCACTGCCTCCACCCGGGGGCGCCGCAAGGGGTCTGTGCTGAGGGGGGAGGGGAGCACCGGAGGGGGAGGGAGCAGGACGAGGGAAGGAGGGAAGGCGGGGACCCGCGGCCGGCGGGCGGGCGGGTGGATGGAGCGGGGGCCTCACCGGGGGTCCTCGAAACGCACGAAGGCAAAGGGCACGAGGCCGTGCCGGTTCTTGAGCTCGATCTCCCGGATACGGCCGTACTTGTAGAACAGGTCCTCCAAGTCCTTCTCGCGCACGTCTGTAGGAAGGTTCCCCACGTAGATGCGCCCGTCGCCCTCGCCGCCGCGCTCGTCCGCCCAGCCCGACATCCGCACCGCCCGACGCCGCGGGCCCGCCGCAGCCCACGTCGCCGCCGCCGCCGCTGCTGCTGCCACCGCCTCCTCAGCCGGGGCTCCCCCGCAGCGTCCCCGCGGGCTCGGAGGCGCTCAGCCGCACAGCATTATGGGAATACGGAGCGGAAGCGAAAGGGTCGGAGGACACTCAAGGAATTCTCTTAAAGGGGACGCGGTTGCGAGGATTGCGCGTGCGCTCGGGCGGTCGGACCGCTTAGGTGCTGGCGGATCCCTGAGTGCCAAAAGGGAGGTTGTGGAATCCAGCTACTTGGGTTTAGTTCCCGTAGGCAACTCACTCAACAGCTGCATGGACTTGGGCAAGTGTCTCAGGCTCCCTAGACGTCACTTTTGTGCCTCTGTTGCGCAGCCTACCTCACAGAGGACCATGAGCTCTCACTGAAGTGAAGAGGGTGTAGCTGTCAATCGGCTTGCGGGGCTTCTGGGGGAGGGAGTCAGCCGCAGGCTCACCCCACTGCACCAGAAAAAGTCCCGGACCGCTGGGCTGGGCGGGGTCATAGCGGCCCTCAGTTCTCAGGTCAGTAGCCTTCTGGACCACCCTGTTCCCATTTTACAATTGCTTAGAACTGAGATTGTAAGACGGACAAAGATGGATGTAAGAGAGCTGAGATGGGCTCTATAGCTTGGACTTGAAGTTCATGGGAGATAGGGAGGGAATGAAAGGATCATAACTTTGGCAACTCTCGTTATAGAGTGCTTCCTATGATTTGTGCTTTTAGTCCCTACCAAGGATGGGGGGATTCCACTGTTACAGGTGAGGAAACGGAGGTCTCAGTGGGGGCAGGATTAGAACCCGGAGCCTGGCTCAAAACCTCTGCGCCGAGTCCTTCAGGAGCTCTGGTAGACTCCCATCTCGGGCCTTTTCGCATTTACATCCCATAGTGCAGGGCATTGAATCCGGGGATGTTACAAAAGTGAAGCCTTGCATCAGAAGAATCTTGATCTAAAAAGATTGGTCATATTAAAAGTGAAACCTCTAGGATAGATACAAGAAAGCAAATACAGGGGAATGTTAACTCTAGGACCTAGACGGTGTGTTCACGGAACCATTCTTTATAACTTGCTGTATATTTGAAAATTTTCATAATAAAACGGGGGGGAGGGTATAAAACGTGTTAAAAAACAAACTCTGGTCCTGGCTGGTGTGCCTCAGTGGACTGAGTGCCGGCCTGCGAACCGAGCGGTCGCCGGTTCGATCCCAGTCAGGGCACCTGTCTGGGGCCAAGTCCCTGGCTGGGGGGTGTGCAAGAGGCAACCTCACACTGATGTTTCTTTCCCTCTCTTTCCCCATCCATTCCCCTCCCATCTCTCTGAAATTAAACAAATAAAAATTTAAAGACAAACTCTGTTAGCCTGGCTAGGTAGCTAGTTCAGTTGGTTAAAGCAGTCTCCCAAAACACCAAGTTCGTAGCTTCAATCCCCAGTCAGGGCACATACAAGAATCAACCAATGAATGCACAAATAAGTGGGACAACAAATCAATGTCTATCTCCCTTTCTCTCTCTAAAATCAATAAATTAAAATGTGTTTAAATGGTTAAAAAAACGGTTAATGCTAGCATTAGGAAGGGAATAAAACCAAACATCTATTCTGATGGTAGTTGACTTTAATTATACCACCTTTTAGTCTTTTTAAATCAAAACAAACAAAAAAACTAGACACCTACACATAACTACTCAGTGTATCATCTTTTTGGAAGATAATACACTTCCATTCTAAATTGAATGGCATACATCCGGCCCTGATAATACACTCATTCCTCTTGATCCAGTAATTCCACTTGGATTTTATCATGAGGAAATAAGAAATCCTCACAATAAATTATCTGCATTCATTGTGTCCGGGAGGGGGAGACTTCCCCTACCACTTATGGCTGGACCAATAATAAAATTGACGTTAAGACCAGATTAACAGGAGAAAACACAATCTAATATGATCATAAATAATGATGCTCCCTGGAATGATGAAGCAGCCAGCTTTTGTAAACAAACAATAAACTTGTGAAGAAATGACAGGGCAAGGACACTTAGGTTTGGGTGCTTACCACTGAGGAATCTACACATAGTTGGGTTTGGGTAGTAAATTAGAAAGGAGTAACAAGGTTTGTATATGCAGTTTTGGGCCCTGGATTCCATAACTAGTGATACAATGTTTCTCCTGGTCCCCCTGCAGCAAGGAGGGCACTTTATAGGGGAAATTTATTCTGGCACTCGAGGAGACAAGGAAGGTCCATGTGCCCTTCCTGCTCTGGCTGCTGGTCAAGTAACTTTATTTTAAAGCAATTAATGTCGGATATTTGGAGGCAGCCTTCCCTGGGTCCCTGCAATTTCATTCTGTGAAATTAAAAAAAAATTAAACTAATTATAAGGGAGTGGTTCAATGCAATGATAATGAATCTTACACAATCACTGAATGATGTTTGGAAAGATATTAAGGTCACGCTAATTTAGTTTTAATTAAAGTGAATTAAAAGTGGTGTTTTATACACACACACGTATATATTCTGAAGGAATCTAGTAAACTGGTTGATTAGAATCTAGTAAACAGTTGTCCCTAAAGAATGCAATTGTGAGAAATTTCACTTTGGATGTCATACATTTCTGTGAAGTTGAAGGTGGTTATTTCGCCTATTTCATTTTTATATTTTGAAAAAATAAAAAGAAACAAAATGTATGAATTATCCAGTTCTATACAATTATATGTGTGTGTGTGTATGTGTGTGTATTCATATTTTGCAACAAGAAAGTATGGAAGATAATAACCTTCCCAATGTTTGTGGCGATATCTCTTGATGGAAGTGATTTCTATATTTTTATTGTTATTTATGCTTTTCTGCATTCATCCAATTGTCTGTAATTATCAGGTACTACTTTTTAAATTGAAATAAAACTATAAATTATTTTAAAAATAAAACAGTCAGGACTATCTGTTTTATTCTGGATTATATAAAGTTTCTAGCTGTGAAGCCAAGCAGGAGAGAGCCCTGGTCCAATGTGATTTTGAGTCTAAGTGCACAGCCTTACAGGTGCTTATGTATCCTAAAGGCATCCTAACCTCCACATTTGGGGGGGATATTAACAGCACCTTCTGAGTTCTACCTCTCCTACATTATTGTTGCCAGGAAAGATTAAAAAAAAAAAAAGCTATTGGAGACAATTTGGTATTCTTCCTTGGGAGAGAGATACATGGAATCAGCTAAGTGACCTAATAGGTAGAAGACTGCTTATGAATAGTCATGATTCAGCTTGTATTGTGCACAATCTTGCTGTATGCAGTCACCAAAGGGGTTCATACCTAATTGAGAACATATCATGCCCAGATATGGGGATGTGGCAAGTACAGCTTTCCTGATGAGCAGGAACACAGCTAAATGGCTAGGAGGCATCATAAATGCCTAGGAACCACAAAGGTGGGTTTTGTTCCCATGAGCCCAGGTACTAACCTTTGCAGGTTAGAACACAAATGAAGCCAAAATTATTGCTTCATGCTCAAGGCGCCCAGTCTCTGCTAAGGCCACAGACCCTAGGCAGGGTCTTTTGAGCTTTTGCTCATCTAGTTATTCATCATCATCAAGTGCATGCTCTTTAAGCCCTGTATGCCCTGTATGAGGCCAGTGGTGTGTGTATAGTCACGTTGCTATTCAAACAGTCAATTAGAGCACGTTTGTGATAAGGGTCAGCCTCTGTGAGTCCAGCTAATGCAGTCTTAGAGATTATAAGAAAGGCCTCCAGAAGTATATCTTTAGGTTGAGTTCTGAAAGACCAGCAGGAATTAACCATAGGGAAGCAGGGAAGGGCTTTTCAGGCAAAAAGGACAGCAACAGCATGTATGATTGCCCAGACAGAAGAGAGCGTGGCAGCCTGGGTCAGCTCCCACGGCCCTACAGTTTGGCTAGAGCAAGTTTAAGAAGGGAGAAGGAACTGAGGCTGGGGCTTCAAGGTCTAGGAAACCATTTTATGGAGTTTAGACTCTGCTGAGGGCAGTGAGTAACTATTGAAGGGTTTTAAGGGATTATGTTGGAGTGAGAACTCCGCAGAAGTGATAGGGAAGTAAGGGAGGAGACTGAGAGCAAATTTTACTAGAGGGCAACTGCAGGAGAGTAGAAGAAAGGAGAAGTGAGTGAGCTATGTGACAGTACTGCCATTATGAGAGAACTTAGGGACAAAGGAGAGATGATTGAGAGATCAATGCAGGGAGTATTTCCATTTAATTGCAGTGTAAAGCCCCTCCTGTGACCTCATAGATTACTTTGTTAACTACAATACCCATTAATAGCCCTGATGGTGTGGCTTAGTGGGTTGAGTCCCAATCTTCAAACCAAAGGTCTCAGGATTGATTCCCAGTCAGGGCACATGCCCGAGTTGTAGGGGAGGTCCTTGTTTGGGAGCCTGCGAGAGGCAGCCAATTGATGTTTCCCTCGCACATCCATGTTTCTCTCCCTCTCTTTATTTCCCACTTCCCCTTTCTCTAAAAAATAAATAAAATCTTTTTTAAAAAACCTGCATTATCCATGAATGATTTTAGAGTTGGGTTCTATTTGTTCAGGGAAGATCTACAGTGTGCTCAGATTAGCCTAAAGGTGAGTGTAGGTAAGAACAGGAATAGCCCCAGATGGCCCAAGTACTAGCAGGTTGCACAGTAAAGCAACTTGGGAGTGGCCACTGGGATACTCTAGCTAGGAGACCACTGTAATCGCCCAAGCAAGGGATGCCAGTGACCTGATGCAAGGTGGTAAGAAGTATAGATACTAACAAGATTAGATATCCCAAGAAGGTGAAGTCATAGGACTTGGACAAAGACTGGACTCGGGGGGCAGAGGAAGGAGGGGAAGTCCAGATTGATTCCCAGGTTCCTGGCATGGGGACCCAGGTAGGCAGCGGTAGCATTCTGAGACAAGGAACAAAGCAGATGGAAATGAGCTGCAGGGGATGGATGATGATAAGTTCAGGTACATGTGGAGGACATGAGAAGGGAGAATAAGAAGTGGGAAGGCTCTAGGGTTTACCTGCCCTCTCCACTGAAGACGGAATTCCAGGCGAGTGACCAGGTGGTAGATGGACATTGGAGTTAGAGAAATGGGATGGGACTGTCTCCTTCCTG